CAGGCTTTATGTTTTTTCGTCTATTTCGCTCTGGATGAGGTCTGCTTCGCTTAAGCCCGTGTAATAATGACATCCGACCATGAGCTCAAGCACCAAATCTGGGCTCAGCTCTCCATCAGTTTTCCTCCACCGAGGTACACAGCTGTAACGAACAAGTGGCAGTACTGGCAGAAAGAAAGTGCTTCTGTGGGAGTGATCCACACTCGCATACCAAGCGACCCACAGCGAACTTTCAAGTGGAAAAGATATTTATAAAGCCTGTCAGCAAGACGACAGGCCTCAAATTGAAATGTTTGCAACTTAGTATGGTCGAATTTTCCAATAAAGACTTATTTCTTTCCCCAGCCTGACCGTCTGATACAACCGTCTTGGTGAGATGTCAGGAGTCTTTGATACGCTTTCATTTAGCATTTTCTAGACAGCATGCAAATTGATTCTTAAAAAAAAAAAAATCATTCGTAGCACTTGAATTTCTCGCAATCTGTCGCAGAACAATGGCAAACTTCAGCAGATACTGCTGAGGACTTATGTGATACACCAAGACAAAATAGTAGGAGGAAAATCTTCCATCCATCCAGTGGAGATGGGCAGATCGAGCTAAAGTATCGATCAGTATTAGTTGCTGGGTTGGGCTTGAGACCTGTTCATGACTGCTTGCAGTTCTAGTTTTTGTACTGTGGCTTCTCAACTCTACCTCAAAACTGATTTCATCCATTTTCTATAGGTCAGCTGGTGCCTATCTCCAGCTAACGTTCCGGGCGAGAGGCGGGGTTTACCCTGGACAGATCATCAGTCTGTCGCAGGGCAACACAGAGACAAACAGCACAAACAACCATGCACACACCCACTCACATCTAGGGAGAATTTAAAGAAAGCAATTAACCTGACAGTCATGTTTTTGGACTGTGGGAAGAAGCCGGAGTACCCAGAGTGAACCCACCAGGCAAACTCCATGCAGAAAGACCCCGGGCCGGGAATCAAACCCAGAACCTTCTTGCTGCAAGGCATCAGTCCTACCATATATATGTATGAATGGACTTTATTTATTCAGGGAAATGTACACAAATCATGTTCATGTGTTTATAAAGTGTTTTGCTGTTGCAAAAATGCCCAAAGTAATTCAAAAGACAAACCACAAAAACATCTAAAATGTCACAAGTTCGATTTATCGGTATGGGCGATATCAATACTGATACAGGTATCAGTACAGGCCCTGTGTGTAGGTGGTATCGAATCAATACCAAAATGTGCTGCGTCGCCTCTACCTCTACAATACATTCATGTCTTGCTACAAGGTAACACATTAAACAACCGTTCCACCATGCTGCCCAGCACCATACATATTTTTCAGTTTGTTCCACATACGTGTGTTTTTGTGTTTGTTTTCATCTCCTTTTTATTCTTTTTTTTACCCTGAAAGTAAAGTGGGTTAGGGTTAGCCTTTTTGTAGCCACATGCCTTCAAAGGTTGCCTGATCAGTAAGTAGGCTCCAAATATGTGTGATTTTATCTCAGAATAAACAGAGCAGCTCTGTGATGTCATCAGAGGTTTGTTTAGTGAACAAACAGCATCGTTGAGAACCAGGAACACAGCCAGACAGGGCCGGGGAGAAAGCTGTGGAGAAGTTTTGGGTACAGGTTTAGGTTACAAAACAACATTCAAAGCGTCAACAATGGCAATGATGTTGAGGTTCATTGGATTGGACCTCAAACAAACATTAATTTAATCATCACAAACTTCAAACTGAGAGGTTTAATTACTGCGACGAAAGCTGCAGCATGCTAATCAAGTCGCATGAATACTCGTCTCCTCGATGCGTACGCATGCAGCTCGGTCCTCGTGGACAAGCTTTTATGTTTTTTCATACTATTTTGACTCAGCCGAGTGATATCATTCCATTCAGAGATAATGCAGTTTTCCCTACAGCCTCTTAGGAGTGAGGGACTAAAAGAATGAGAAGAAGAAGAAGATGAAAGAACCTAAGAAAACAGATAAAATTATTTCTCGTCAGAATATCAATGCAGTCTCAGTATCCTGAAAGATAAACTATCAACACTGGAGAAAACAGCGCACCTTCTTTCTCCGCATTTCTTTAGAACAAGCGACCTTTTCTTCCTTTGGTCGTGATCCTATCCGTCGTCTCCTTTATTGGCTTTGTGAATTGGGAGTGCGATTGCTCCACACACAGCAAGCAAAATCTCTAAAGTATTAAAGTATTATTTCCTTCGACGTGCTCTGCCAGAACTGGAGGAAGTTCAAAAACGACGCCATAAACTCCAGGTTTTATCTATTGACCGTCGTAAACGCAACGTTGACACTGTACAACACACCACACAATACCTTTTAATGTAGTACCATGAGATATCATCTACATTATTCTCTAAAGGAATTTTATTTTTGAGCTCAATCTCTGTCATGTCGACTTCCTTCAGGAAGATCATCAAAATGTCAGACACAACAGAAACCCTGGTCCCAGTCAAGGATGCGGAGGGAGTCGCTGTCCTGCGTACAGTGAGGGTGAGTACATCCCTGAGAGAGATTTAGAGGGGAGGCATAAGATTTATTGCTGTTTAATTTGCTTTTTTTTTTTTTAGAAGCGTACATCTTCTGCCAGAAGGCAAGTGGTCACACTTAAGATAATGGACAGTGATAAGTCTGTCGAAACTCCAATCATCGGTCAAAAAAAAAAAATCCCCTGACTGCTCGTAAATCTCATAGGTCCTCAGGTTTATTGGCAGACGACCTGGTGGAGCAGTTCATCATTTTTGTCTTGACGGACATGCGGTGCCAGCTACCCCCTCTCACCACTCCTCAACTTGTGATGCTTCGCACCACGGCCCAAAAGAATGTGATGATTCTTCTCCGTTTGACACTAAACACCTTCAGTTGACAGGGGATCATGTAACCTTTGCTGTAAACAACAACACAGAGTGGCAATGGGATGTTTTCGTCTGAAAACATGACTGGGCTGAGTACCAAGCTGAGATGCGATTCTCATCATTCTGCCTTTTCCTTTTAACTCATGTGCAGTGTAGATGACAAAAAATATGACCTTTAAAGACTAACAAAGCAGGATATTCAAACACAAGTGTTAAAGAAAAAATTAAATGCAGAAATGATGAGGGAAAATAAAATGGTTTACTAGGTTGTAGAATCTACTTTAATGGAGCAATCTTCTTATTTCTGACTTTGTCAGATGGGATGCTTATAGTTCGGCCCAAAATGATTCATACCACTGCCAGATTTAGATATAAAATTATTTTAATTTAACCCAGGGGTTTGTTTCTATTAGGACATAATTTACCATGTTATTAGAAGTAAACAGTTTAGTTTGAAACCTAAATCTGAAGGTGCATCAATAATATTTGGAATGATCTGTTGCTTCTTTACCGTATTGCCTTGATTGACTGTCTCACAACCAGGTTCAGGTAAATACTTACCCCACAGCAGACACCTGAGCTCTCAGGTATTCAGAGAAATCTACCGTCATCAGATATTGTGTGTGTAAAAACGAGCCTAAACCGGCAAGTCCGTTCTTGGGGAGGCTGGAAAATCTTCTGGATGTTCTCGACTTCTTAGCGGTTTTCCGGAGCGGAGAATGGTGACGTCGTTTGGAGACGGGCACCGACCACAACCCAAAAAGAGCAACACCTCGCAATGTTGACCATCGTGTCCAACATCAGCAGCCGACCTCATGGAAAAAATGTCAGATATTACCAACCGCTCTCGTAATCCTAACATTGTTTCCCCGTAATTGTCTTACAGCATAAAATCCTCACTAAATATCTTCTTTTCTAAAACAGATGTTTATGCAATAATTGCAATAATTTGGTTTTGTTTAGCCATACAGAAGTCCAGATCAACATTGCTAAAATTCGTTGTTTTCACATTAGTCTGATGTGATGCGATGTGGAACATGAGCAAAAAATGAAGATAAAGACGATAAATGTGCATCTACACAATTTCAATATTTAAGTTGGACTCTATTCAGAACCCCTGTGTTTATCTGATGGAAATAAATGTTTTCACGCCACTCAACTTTTCACAAAATAATAATAAAAAGAAACTCGGAGGCCCGGTGGGAACCTAAACAGATCCTTTCTTTCTCTTGGCTGTGACGTGAGTCACGGCTGATTTGTGGTAAGAATGAGGTTGTGGAAAAAACCCTTTTTATAGAAGCAGAAACCGTAGCGAGACGTGAGAAATAGAGTTGTCAAAACAGATAGGAATTTATAAAATGCCATGTTTTTGTTTGTTTTTTTTAAGAGACGGACAAATCTGTTGAAACAAATACTGTTTATTATTTCATAATACAAATAACACTACATATACAACATAAGCCGAGCCAAAACATTAAATCGCAGTCAAGCAGAGAGAGAGAAAGAGAGAGGAAAAAAAGATAAAAAAGACAAGAAAATATATATTTGTTTATCTTTTTACATAACAGTAGCACAGCTAAAAACCACACGACAGAAAGCCTGATTGTAAAAAATAAGGAAAAGGAAGAAAGTGAACCTCGCAAGAAATCAAAGAACAGCGCCGGTCACTGAACGGGGAGAAAGCTCTGGAGCCAAACAGTCTCACACCCATTACCCAACTCTGATGCATTATTGGACCTTCATATGATGGACCGAAGCTAACGTTTCAGACTGTTTCACAAGTAAAAGTCTGACAAGTGTGGTGTGAATCTGAACTACTTTACCTCTCACTGCAACTTCTACCAGCTAGACTGAAACATGGGGCTAAAATTTTCTTGGCAAAAAAAAAAAAAAACTAACCTTACGAGATGAAAAGAGTCTGTGAATAGCAATTTTCAAGACCCACAGAATTTAACATAATTTCTGTAATTTCTGTTCTAACATATGAACATTCTTTTAATTTAAACAACTTCAGTTTCATTGTAGATTTGGCTGAGTGTTTTAGGGTTACATTCTTGCTGCAGCTTATCGCAGTCTCAAATCATTTGAAGCTGCTGAAATGATTTTTGTTGTTTGTTTTTAGCAGAACTAGCTAAATCTAACCTCTCATTAAATCTGCCCAGCTTCCTTATCGATAAAGAATAGCACTCCCACGGCGTGACGCTGCCACTACCATGCGGTTGGTCTGTTTGGGGAGACGTGCATTACTAGTTTCTAAGCTTGTATTTGGCCTCATTTAAAAAATTTGGGCAGCATCTTCTATTTTACTACTTGATAAGCTTGACTAAATGTTGATCTTTAAAAGTAAAACCCTCATCTGGTCAAACTTAAACAATGGCTACAGATATTGTTACAAAGGAGGATGGTAGTAAGCGTCCAACAAACCGTGGTTTAAACTCATCGGGCTCATGTTGTGTAATTTATTGTTTTTGTGTGCTGAGGTAAAGCTGTACACTGTAAAACCTTGGCATAATTCATGTGGTCTTGGATTGAATTCTTTAAAAAAAAAAGAAAAAATCCCTTTTTTTGGCATTTTGAGCAAAACCAGGTCCATGTTTTTTTTTTTTGTTTTTAGATTTTAGATCCAGAGGAGGAATTTCAGGCAACACAGCTTCAAAAGTGACAAAATAGCAGCAAGCTATATGTACAAGGCAAAGCATTCGCAGATATGTGAATATCGACTTTAGTGTTTCAAATATATACAAGCAGATTTTCTCACAATAGATGTACAAACACTTACTACGGTTACAAGCACTGCTCTTATGTGCCTTTTAACAACTCATAAAACAAAAACGTCCATGTTGATCCCTCTGTGTCAACACAGCGGTACATCAGATAAGACGGTGCACTTCAATTTTCCTGGCAACAGCTTTCCCAGCCGGGATAGCCTGTAGGCTGCTGGCTGCCTCTGTAACAGCACGCTGCCTTCGAACAGTTCGATTCACACCAGTATTACCTGCATTAAGATGGTCTTAACTTTGGCTGCTGATCAGTAAAGGGAGGATTCAGTGATTATAAATCCACTGTTAAATAGGTTAGCTTAGAAATAGCTTTTGTGCACAGAATGGGTATGATTTGACATTATTTTTCCCTCCTCCTAGATTTCAGGCGTTTAGTTACAGTACTAATTTCTTCTAGATGATTCAGACACATTCCTAAAATGCTGACCAAATATTTTTGAAATGGCTCACTGATTTCTCAGGCTTCCTTTTTGTGTGTGTTTTTTTTTTTTTTTAATTATTATTTCAAAAGTTCAAGAACTAAATTATAATTCAGTTGCAGGAGTGAGATTTAAAGCTTGTGTCATTTAGGATGTGTACTTTTTAACAGAGGTACACATCAGTGGACGAGTGAAGTACAAAATATGGACTGGAATGCCCGCTAAATCTCATTGAGGTTTTTCAGTAAACGTGCCAACTGTGCAGAATATTATTGCTTCTTGGCGACAAGTTAAGGGCAACTTGTTGTTCTGCTCGTTACTGAGTACAACTGGGAGGCTAGCTGTAGCTCACTGTAGTCAGCGAATTAGCTGAGCTATGTTAGCTAGCCTGCTGCTTCCTGCTTTACACATCTGGAGGTTCAGACCCCCAGTCCGTCTGTCTCAGTTGCTATGACTTCGGGTAAGTTGCCTTCCTTGCTAGTGGTTACAATGTAGCTTACATGTGTGAATGACTGAATGTAGCGCGAAGATGTCTGGGCCAAACAAAGCACTACACAAGTCCTTGCCTATTAAATTTTACTTGATAGTATTACTGAAAAGGTAAATACAACAATTTGAATCAGTTGTTCTGGAGACACGTCAAAAATGTGGACAATAGTGGGACCTGAAGAATAGGATTGAGAACCTTTAGCTTTAGCTTTTCTTTAGCCTTTAGCATCCACAACACGAATTTCTAAACTCCTCGTGATCCTTTCTTGTAAGCAAGAAAAACAAGTAGCAGTGACTGACAGGTAGGGGGCGCTGTCGTCATGAAGTCAAAGGTAACTACTCTCACACAGAACTTTTTCTGGTGTCCTGTTAAAGTGACTTTAGCGTCTAAGGTCATTTTTTGAGGTTTTGGTAGCAGAACTCTAACTAAGGATAACTAGTGCGTGCCTATGGCATGTTGATGTGTCCAAAGGTTATACCACAAGGTCGTTTGGCATCTTTAGTGGAAAAAGAACATTTATAGAGAGAGACCTGGTATATTTAAAAAAAATGTAAGCTTAAATTACTTGATTAAACTAAGTTGAATCTGGTATTCAGTCAAACTGTATTTAAAACTGAGTTTATAAATTGTGAATAGAGCTTAAAGCTAATGAGCTAGCTACTCTGTTAGCTTTGTGGTTACTAAGAAAATGTATCCAAAAAATGTATCTCAGGCATGGAACAGACAGGCACTAAAAATAGCTTAGGATGATAATCTTCCTTTTGTGAAGCTGAAACAAAGAAACTACCAAAAAAGCTTCAAGGTACAACTAGTTCTGGGATGAGAACTCTGATCCATCCATTTAGCGACAGCTTGAATTATTTAATGACAGCAGTTCCACCAAATAACAAAATCTTTAAAAAAAACAGCTAATCTGAAAGCTTGATGTTATTTCTCTATTATTTCTATTTTGTTGTTCAGAAACTGAATTTAAGTATTTCTATTCAATTTAACAGAGAAGAAGCCAGCCTTATGAAACAAAAAGAATATAGATTAGCTTGATATCAATCAAAAGCGAAAGTCATTGACCCAGCCTTTATTATTCACCCCCCAACGATGCCCACTCTGAAGTGATTCCATTAGCAAGCTAAACTTAATTTACAGCCTGAAGGAAACAACACACGTGGCAATCAATATCTTTGTGACAGATGAAGTTTTTTAGGTTCCCGAATGCTGCGGTTCTTCTTTTTCTAAGGGAACAGAGTTATTCTGATGTCTAAGACGTGCGATTTCCCGAACAGCTTCTCTAGTGTACTAAAAATTTTACACTGAAAACAATTGCAATCAAAAATTAGAACGCGCTGGGATAGATAGGTATTTAAATTGCATGAAGCAGTTTAAAAAAAAATGCATTTGTTCTTCAGACACTTCAAAACACGTTTAAAACTTGTTCCACAGCGACAGGTGGTGATACCTCAACTTGGTACAAAGCAAAACTGAAAGTCAGAAGGTTAAATGAGTGTTTTAAATGAATATTTGAATTGTATAACCATATAAATACATCATGATGTGATATTTAACTGTCTGCCTTGACACTGCAGACTTTTTTCGTGAGCAGACTTCAATCCACTTCGGTGTAGATACGCCACACACTCACAACGCATGAAAGTAGGCAAATACTCACCCTGATTAATATGCACACCAACTTCCATCTGATCACTTAGTCAACATGACTCACAGTGAGTTTCAGTGTCTCAGCTCAGTAAGTGATCATTTTGCACAGTCAGTCAAACGTTGGTGCAGTTGGTCGAGGGTGGAGTATCCGCCTTGCTGCGCATCTCCTTGATGTCGTTGAGCGGGCAGTCGACGTTGCCGATCTGGCACTTAAAGACTTGCTTGTACGCCTTCCTGAAGTTCTCCGACAAGAACGCGTAGATGACGGGGTTCACCGACGAGTTGCTGTACGCCAGGCAGTGTGCGGCCACCCGAAACACAAAGGAGGCCTCGGTCAGCGGAAAGTTCCCGAACTCCACCCAGAGCTGAACGACGTGATGAGGGAGCCAGGACAGGCAGAACACCACCACCACCACCAGCACGGTCTGAGCGGTCTGGCAGAACACACGGGATGAAGAAAAGTTATTTGTTAGGGCTCTTAGAGGGGAGGAAGGAGGAATTTCCTCTTTTTTTCAGCTTTTTTGGTATAAATCTGCTTCTTTCACACATTTGTAACTGTTATCTTGTGTTACTTTGTAATCACTAATATTATATTTTCCATAAGACATGAGGAACCTGGCTTGACACATACATTCAACATATTTCACTCTACAGTGTTGTAGCCCTACACACAGATGATGTGTCTGAAATCAAACAAGACAATGGGTGTAATTCTAATGTGGTTAATTATGTTTTTTTTTTTTTTCTAACCACCTCTGGACCTGCACATTTACAAAATGACTTAAAAAGAACCTCCAGTTCAAAAACAACCAATCAGGGCCAGGAGAAAGGTCCTAGTGATGTCAACCATGCTCGTCTACGTGTTGCTAAATTTGCTAATGGCAGAGAAACAACTTACCAGGGCAGGAAAACTGTTTATCTGCCGTCATCGGTGGCCATGCTAACTAGCCTGAGCGCTCCTGGCAAACTACTGGAAGAAGCTCTAGCGTAGCAAAGAGCTAGCAGGGGATGCGCAGAGCATCCACACGCATGATTGACAGCACTAAGAACCTCCTCCTGGCTCTGATTTTGACAGTCTCAACAAATATGTAATAAAAAATATATAAAATTATACCAATTACACTTTGCAGTCTAAGTGAGCCTACTTTCCCCTCATAGTTTTCGGGTAAGATAGCTCCAAACTGGACAGCTCCAAAAAGGATAGCTCATTTTAAAAAGAGAAATTGTTAAATATATTTTTAAAAAACTAACTAGAATTTCATCAGCTTATAGCAATTACTCAGACATTTTACTTGATTTAAATGTTTTGTTCTGTAACTTTCTTCAAGGACAAGAAAAACTGTGTGATTGCTGTCGTTTTACAGTTCACATGAATTCAATTTCAACTAAAATGCTAATGTTATGATCCTTGAAATTATTATATTTTTGAACTACATATTTAATGATATATGTAATTTAAAAATACATATATGTAAAGAAACATATCTCATTTATGTCTTTAAAATATTCAGAAAGATAGCTCTCTGATTGGGGTTGAGTTTTAATGAAAAAATGAATTATTTCATGTCAATGGTGAGATTTTTGATCCCTAAATATATTCAACATAGTCATTATCTTTTGAGGGGAAGGTGCAGGGAGACAGTACAATAAATCCATAGGTGCATCGAAGGCAAGAGGTGTCTGCTGATTCTTCTTAGGTATTTTCTCACGATGTGCACAGAGCCAGCGATGCGGCATTCCCTCCAAATCTTGCTACAATAAGACTCTAAATCATGTTTTCCTTTCTCTTGTTAGCTCTGTTTGGGTTTGCAGCCTTTGGGAATAAACAGCTCTCCTGGCCTACATGCCAGCAGTCAGCGGTTGCGGCGCTCCTGCTTTGTAACGAGCCTGTAAGACCGCGAGCGGCTGAGAATCAAATCACAACAGTGAGCCAAACAATGAAAGATGGATTTCAGAGCTGAAGAGGAAGCAGACCTGTCAGAGGACAGCTTCTGACCACACCATTTCTACACCATTTCTACACATCCCGTAGCTCTCAAGTAAACAGAACCTCGTTATACACTTTCATATTAATTATTTACTCCACAGATCCAGATGTGCAATCTTCTCAAAGGCAGAGGGGAGCAGAGCATTAGACATAACACCAAGTCTATTGTTCACCTATTTACCCAAAGCAGGTTAACATATGTACTTGTTACCACATAGTCATAATATTACAAGAATAAAGGCAAAATAATACAAGAATAAAGCCATGGCATTATGAATTTTCTCAAAATATGACTTTATTCTCGTATTAGTTCGACTTTTTTCTCGTACTACTTTATTCTCGAAAGGTTTGTGACTTTACTTTCATCATACTATGAATTTATGTTCTTTCTCTTTGGACCTCTGACATTAAAAAGGCAATTCTGTTCACGCAGTTGAATTCTCTCCCTTTTTTTGGACTGTTCTTCTGTACACTCAAAAGAACATTATGTATAAAAATACTAGCATCTTCTAGAATACTTAAAAGAACCACATCCTTAAAATGCCTGAAATTCATGTATCTAAAACAAAGGCCTAAAATGTCTCCCATTCATGACAAACAAAAGCAAATTGGCCTTCAAAACATTAATCACAAGTCTTAAATTTAGTTGTGGCATGACTATTTAATCTCCCAGATGTAGTTTTTTTTTTTTTTTTTAATTTCTCTCATGGGACTTTTCTATCAGGCAAAAGTTTGAGTCGCACGTAGACATCTCAATTGCGTTCTGTGACTCGAGGTGGTTGAAGCTACCGTGAGTGTTTGCGTTTTTCACATTTGTCTCAGTTTAAGCACTGAGAGTTTTCTTTTCTTTTGCATTTAGACAAGGAAACTCAAAAGTGTCACGAATTTCAGTCTTTTTTTAATAGAATCTCTGAGTGTTTTGTAGTTTATAGAGGCTCATGGAGACATGCACAGATTTCACTCTTCTGGCTCATACTGCTGAAAGACCCTCCATCGTGGGCAGATAGCGGAAATCTTTGATTCTGCAAACTTGACGCAACAACCCCAAAAACATGCAAACTTTTCACTCAGACACATTTCAGACACTCAGTAAGCTTTGGAAGTAAATCAGTTTGGCCTTGCTTTGATTTCAGTGCATGTCTCTGTCCCTCACTCCCTCCAGTCATTTCTTCTTACTTTATTTTGGACCTTTCTCTTTCCGGAAAGGTAAACCGTAGGATTTATACTATTTTACAATCTATTTCCTAATGGGCGGCTTAATATGATGTGACAGGCTTTTCTAAATTCCCGCCGGGTGCGTCCTCCTTTGTGTGCTCAGTGCTGAATCAGACAATAAGGAGAGCCAGAGAGAGAACGATGGGCTGATAGACGCAGAGACATGGAGCCGGTACCAAGACGAGAGTCTGCGCAGAATTAAAAGATAAGCCGGAGCCGCACGTTTCCAAATTTGGTTGTGTCGTTTTCGTTCGCCCTGACTCTTTTGTTCTGCTCACTGTCTCGTCCGTAAAGCTTCGACAGCAAGCTTGACCAGCGGCTGTGTGTTTTCTGTTGGCAGAATCACAGACAGGAATGTCTGAACCTGCTATGGTCTAAATTTGCATCACAGATAGAGATGACACCAGAGTCTGATTTTGCTCAAATCTGAGGCCTGTTTTATCACTTTTCAGGCTAAAGGCTCCCGAGAAAATGAGTCACCGTCATGTCCTGGGTCGTTTTGGGGTTTGTTTATTATTCTGTGTTCCTAGGTCTCTTTCTTTGATTAGATCAGTCGTGTTTCTGTTTATTTTAGTTCAATCTTTCTCAGTGATTCTGGTTTGTTATTGTCTATAGTTGTTCCTTGTTACTCTAGTTTGATTGTTTCTTAGGTGTAGTTATTCTTTATTGTTAGATTTATCTTCTAGTCCCCTGTGCCACTTTCTTTTTCTCACCACACACCTGCAATCAGTTAGCCAATCAGTCCAAGTACTTAAACACTTCTGCTCCCCCTCATTCTTTGCTGGTTTCGCCTGTTAAATCCAGTTATTTTTCCCATTTTTTCCCAGTGTTCCCTGTTGGTTTCTTCCTTGTATTTATGATTTTTGTTCTGCTTTGGCAGATCCTCTGCCCCTCTGCATATGAAACCCACATGTCATCACAGTCACTTTTAATTAATTCCTTCTCTTTTCCCTCCAGGCTTCCCTCAAAGTCAGATGCTCTCTCTTGTGTAAGTGTCAGAAAAGCTCGAGGCTACAAAAAGAAAATGTTTGTTTGAAAGAAACAAAAGAACAAGATGAGGCTTGATCTCCTTTGTCGTTCTTAGTTATAAAAAGATGGATTTAACATTTAATCAGTTTCCTGATGGCTTAACTAGTACTTAAAAAAGAAGATGGAAGTGATGCATAGACGATAGAGAAGACAATGAATGAATTCTCGTAACAAATCCATATCTTTCCCAAATCAAATGACAAGTTTGGTGTTTAAAATCATACACCAATGTTTAAAACATCTGTTTTTTTCTTCTTTTACGTCTGTTTAACATAGTCCAAGCATATGGTGCACATCAGATGGAGAACTTCAAAACTTTAGTGCGTACGATCTCAACCTGAGAAAAGTCGGAGTTGAAGCTTTAGTTCAGGATTTGCAGCAGGTCATATATAATAAAGGAGAGTCTGATGTAAGAGAATGAAGGAACCTCACACGCTGCCCTCACATCTAAACACTGGAGTCTGATTCTCTTTCTCATCACTGGAGCATTTAGAATTGAGCTCATTCCTGCTGACCTAAAACAAGAGATGTTTGGTCGTTTTTAACTTCAGATAATGAAGAAAAGTTGTGTCTCATTTTAACTTCTGATTTGAACTGTAATGCACATGGTTTTATTTGTTTTTAAAGTATAATTTTCCTTCCACTTCATAGATATGGGTTCCTTTGGAACGTTTGAAATCAAAAAAAAAAAAAAAAAAAAAATCTAAAAGCACGCTATTAAAGTTTATGGCTGAAATGGGAATAGATTGATACGTTTACATAAAAGGATCAGGTCACACTGCCTACTTTATTTGATTAATCTATCACACATTAATGTTTTCCACCATTAATTAGAATGATAACACCATCATCTAAATGTCTATTACCTGCTGCCAAAAGCAACCAGCTAATGCAGGAAAGTGTTGAAAAAGTGAATGAAGCTACCAAGAAAATGAAGATATTTACCTGTTTGAGTTGTTGCTTTAAGTAAAAAAACTGAACACAGTGGTTACTTTACAGAAGGAAAATCACGTTAAAATGATTAATTTTCCGATATGTTCAGCAACATAACCACTTAAACTTAACTTTAAGCTTTATGTGAGTCAACCTGAGTCAAGCTGCTTGAAGTTTCACTGGGAAGTAACTCTTGATGCGACGTGATTCATTCGTAAGGGACACCAACACTCGGCTCAGAAGAGCGGCAGAGCATCAGCTGTCCCCTCGTCTCACTTTGTAGACGCTACTAGACAATTTTAGGCTAACTTGGCTAAATATTAATTTTCCTAATTATCCGTACCCATCTGTGTGCTCCATCTGGAAGCCTGGGTAGCTGAGAAACAAGCACTCAGGGCTGAACTTGGCTGTTTGTTGAACCCACTGGTACAACAGTGGGACGCCAATAAAACGTTATAGCTCAGCGAGGTAATTATGTCGGAATTGTCGGAAGTGTTTTAGTTTCTCTCAGCCAGACCGTTTCTGTCTGTCTTTGATGTGTGGATTTGCAAACAGCGCTGGGAACGACCTCGGTCTTTCCAGCTGTCAATCACGTTGGATTTCCCTGAGCTAACAGTGCTGCTGACGAGACTTTTTCCATCCACAAAAAGTGCCAGTTGAATATTTTTTTTTTCCTGTGTGGCACAAGCATCTATTATTATTATTTTTTTTTTATTCCTTTGCTTTTTGATATGTAAAAGTTGGACTTTCAGACAGTAGTTGAAAATAAAAACATCTCTGATGGAGGTGGATCAGCTAAGAAAAGTTCACCCCTGTAGAGACAGGTCACAATTTTGGAAAACATCTCAAAGAGCAGCAAGCGGGACGTTTCCGAAATCAGATTTGCTTCTGAAGATGACACTCCCATTAAGCACGACAAAAGTCAAACCAAGGTTGGCGGCACTGAAAGGCCGAGGACTCTGCCAAAAAGAAACTGCAGCCTCTCACACCGTTTAGTCTTTCCTCTTTAGTTCCGGCAAATCCTGTCACATGCTGATGTGCAACCTGGGTTTTGGTGTATAAATGTTGTTCTTATGATTAAATGTGGCTGTAATGTGAATCACTTTGAGTGGTCAGTATGACTAGAAACTTGGTATATAAATTAAGTTCACTTGCCATCTACTACACTAATCATATATTCTTGAAAAACACAATTTGAGACTTATGAAACTGATACTATTTTTATTCAAAGCTTTTTGGCATAAGGATCACCGTAGAACTAAACATGAAAACTGCAATACAGACAAGTTAAACCGAGTCTACAATGTTCTACACTTACATATTCTGTACAGGTGTTTTCACACTTGATAGTTCAGTAGATTTGATTGGGGACCAAAATGACACCATTTGTCACATTTTTAGCTTATGCAGTTCAACTTTCACCGCGCTCAAATGAAACAAATATGTTTCCTCCTCACCTGGTGGCGCTGCACCAAGAACCACTGAATGAAACGACAGACAAAATGAAGAAAACCCTGACCACAACTTCTTTACCACATGTAAACTAAAATGGAGTGAGGGGTGAGATTTTAGGATTTCTCTTTTGTTTTTGCCAAAAGACCACAAGCTATTTCTCCCACTAGCGCAAGATTCACGCATTTGTTTTGGTTGTATTTACCCAGAATGCCCCGGGCTATTGTCCATTTCCTGCTTTTTGGAGCCTCCAGTCTGTTTTTCATTCATATATGCATTCAAACTACACCGGAGTTCACTTAAACTGAACTGAACCATAGGTTTCTACGTTGACTAGAGTTTGCTATTTTTGGTCCGAAAATGAATTTGCATCCAAATGAACCAGACATCTTAGTCAAACAAACTAGTTTGATTAAAGCGGACTAAACGGGAATGGCTCGAATGCTACTTATAACACTTTTTTTGTTTTTGTTTTTGAAACACAAACTAACTAGGAGACTAGGAGAAGATACAAACTGTGTTGAAAACTTTTACATAAAGCGATTTCTTTATCATCACTAATCCTGTTTAACTTCTGCTGTAAAACTCCAGACAAACCCACAGTTTTGAATTTCTACAACTCACTAAAAGGATCAAAGCACATTTACTCAGGAGTTGAACCATGAAGCAGATTATTTACAGGCCTGTTTTACTTTTTCACCCAGTGGCTGCTGATGTTTGGAGACTGCAGAACAAAGTGAGTGAAGGTTATTGGAGCGAGTTCTGGCTTTGAGTCACCACCGGACCTTTGACTTCACTAATATGCCAGTTTGTGTTTCCTGTGAAATCTGTTTGCTGTTTAACACCTCTTTGTCCCTTTTTACATAAAAGCTGCCCCTGAGGAGTTTTCACCAGCTAGCTTGATGCTGTGTGGTGGCTACAGCACTTTTATCCACACATAGGTTTTTAAAGAACAACGCCCCCCACCCCGCACCCCCCACCCCAAAAAAAGGCCACGTCCAGACACAATTTAAATGAGATAAATGGGTAAAAGACTGCAGCTGATTAGTTTGCTTCCTGTATGTTCGTGATTCGTTTTTCATTGATTCTCCAGAGTCTGCAATGCCTTACTGTGGATTTAATCTTCTGTAACGAAACACACAGGACAAAAAACAGAGAAGCTATTTGGCTCGGGAGCCACAAATGCATAGAAATACAGGTTCGAAAGGAGACACAGCAAAGTTTGACAGCGCATTCTCTGACATCTGCATCGCTCTGACAGCACTTCTTATCTCGGAAATGTATTTATCACAGTCTAAGATTAATGCACTCTTTATCGCCGAGCCTTAATAACCCCTCTGTGCTCTGTTCTGTCAACTCTGCACCGAACAGCGTAGTAAATCACAAGGATATCTGACATTCCTGCCTCATCTCCCGGTTATTTCAAGCCTCACGCAGCAAAGCGTGTTTGCCGAGACCTATGCAGTCACATCAAAGCACATTTACATTCCCCTCTCAAGCCACGTCTGGCAGTATAGCAGAAGGTGAGTGCTGTTAGCCCGATCGGCTGTGAGGAACGACGGACACGCTGAGGAATAGATCAGCGATCGAGCAGGCGACGGCAGATAACTGGCTTCAGTAATGACCTCCTCCAAGTGCAATGAGGCTGTGTGACAGCGAACAGGAAGCGCAACGGCAATGAAAATTCTCTTCTGGAGATCTGGGGGGGAAAAAAAAAAAAAAAAAGTTCTTTCTCCTGCAGGGCTGAATGTCTAGAAGTAACAAAGCAGCCAGTAGAAGAAGTAAATATGGACACTGCTAAAAACACAAAATCATACCAAGTATTTCTGGTCTAGTTTCTGGTGCAAGTACGGTAGTACGCTTGAAATACAACCAAATTAACTTACAAGTAACTTTTCAGCAAGATATAGAAGCTTGTTTTAAGTCAAAAATTCCTTAATATTGATTTTAAAAAGTACTTTTTCCATTGGCAGATTATTTCACTTATGGAAAAAATGTCTTGTTATAAGTGAAATAATCTGCCAATGGAACAAGAAGTTTTTCATCAATAACAAGGAATTATTGACTTAAAATAATTCCTTTATTATTTTGTTTTAACTTGTTTTAACCAGGTGTGAGGTCGGTTAAAACAAGCTTCTATATATTGTTGAAAATTTACTTGCAAGTTAGTTTTGTCTTATTTCAAGTGTACTATGATATTTGCTCTAGAAACTAGACCAAAAATACTTAGTAAAATTTTGTGTTTGAGCAGTGTACGATTTTTAATTTAGAACAAAGTTCAGATTTCTAGCAAAAACCCGGAGCTGCGGTCTTTTACTTTAGCACCAAATCATCCAAGCACCAATCAAAGCACGGCTTCATCAACCACCTGTGGGTTGCACGGGGTATTTCCTCGAAACGCTTGCTCTCAACACACCACAGGCGGTCCATTCCTGTCGACTCGACAAGCAGATAAAGCCATTTGGTCTTTTTGGTTTCCTCTTTTGTACCTTTGTGGTCTTGTTTGTTTCTTATCTGTTTTCTTTTGAGCTCCAAATGGAGCCGTCTGCCACGAGACGTTTGGTACAAACCGAAATGGATCAATTTCGGTCCATCTTGAGGACAATTAACCCTTGTGTGTGCGAGGACTGAGGCAAATGATACAAGTGATACGGGTGTGGGGTCAGTTGGACCCCATTTGTAAACACAAGGGTTAAAGACTTACAGTAACAATTTCTCATTGGGGCCAACAAAAAAAAAAAAGGGGAACCACAAAATTTGTATTCACTATATTTTTTTTATTAAGATCGCAAAAAGTATTTTATTTTTTTTACATTTACCTGATCAGCAGGAAATTAAATGCAATTAAATTATTATTTGAATGAAGCAAAGTACAGTCTTTCTTGTAGATCATTAAATATTTGAAACTTAAAAAAAAATAGTCTTCCAGGTAAACAGTAAATGACTTCCAACATTTTTTGGGGGGTTGACGATCTTTTTCTTGATTTTTTTTTTGTAAGTCTCTTCAGCAACACCAACGAGTCGCTCTTGCTTTATTTTGGCAAGTTAATAAATGGGCGAGCCCAAGCCTGAGTAAAAGCTGCTGTTTGTATTTACTATAATATTCCATGAAAAGCAAAGTCTTGGCTAAAGATGAATACTGCATGTTGCACCTTACATTTACCATTTTGAGGAGTTTGTAATTTGTCTGTATCATTTTTGAAAGGCCTTGGTCAGTCCATTATTTATTTATCTTTTTATAAACGCTTCTCTGCACCAACTGCCTGAGCTGGCAAACCAAACGTAGACCACTCTTGAATTGTGATCGAGGGTCGCCCAAAATTGCTCCAACGACCGCAAATGGGTTCCCGGGCCACAGTTTGAACACCCCTGCTCTATATTTCACTCATAGTTTGGAAATAAATGAATAATTCCCATATGAACAATGCTTGCCAGAAGTAGGTTGCATAGAGCTCTTTTTGTTCGATCAGCAGTCCTAATTGTTCACCGCCTGTGCCATCCAGGGAAGAAAGCCATCTCGGCCCTTTCCAAAATTTCTAATGAATGCAGAACCTGGTAGAGAAATACCTGCAGCTCTCTGGGTGTATGCTGGACAGTCTGGTGTTATTGTGATGAGGAGTTTCCAAAAGGCATTTAACTCTGATCTCCACTTTTATTCAAGCAGTAAGAAGAACAATCTGCAGTGGATAAACTGATCTGGATACATGGGAGAGTCTCTGGATACAGTGACTGATGCTCTGGCATAAAATCCCATTCATCCATCATTGCTCATTCTGATAATTACACCCGCCCAATGATGGCAAAGAAATCCAGCAAGTATTGTAGTTGGACCATTTGTCTGGGTCTGATTATGGTTTATGTTCTTTACAACTACATATTAATGTTTTGGATACGAGTTCGATGCACTCCAGTCACACATGTAAAGAATTCCCCATTGATATTTAATATTTAGACTGGTCAAACTGGAAATGAATTGTTCTGCAATCAACACAGAGTCTTTAAAGCACATTTTGAGATTTAGGAAGTCGTCCAAGGTCAAGGTCTGTGGATCCATACAGGGCTGTGTGAGGGGGCCGTCTGGCCAGCAGCAGTCAGGTGAGAGGTGAAGAAATGAAACACATCTCTCTGTCCTGGTAAGACGTTATAATTAACAAAGTAAAACTGTTTTTTTTTTTTTGTTTTTTGTTTTTTTATTCCAAGCATAGAATAATGTAGGCCAGGTTATAAACCCCTCTGTTTGTATGTCTCAACCTCAGCAATAAAAATGCTCTCTATGCGTATTTTTAAAGCTTCATAAATCTTTGGCAAAGCTTAATAGATTCCCATTCACTGTTGAAACATAAGTATTTGCAAAGTAGACTTTGAAATAAAGATAATTTGCTGTCAGCCTGGCTATACTGCCATTTTATTATTATTGTTTCTTAAGTGTTGCTTAAGAGAAAGAGCAACACTAAGGAGACAATTAAGTAAATGTACAAAAATCAATAAGAATGTATCCAAACAAACAACTATATTTTATTTTATTTTTTCTAGGGTTCAAGATGCCCCCCCCCCCCCCCCCGGCCACCATAGGCTGTATCACCACCCTGGGCAGACAGCCATATGGCGTTTATAACCAAATGAAACGTTTGCTAATAAATCACAAAACGTAACAAGTCGATAAACTGAGTCAACACCTACCTTTTTCTTTGAAGCCTCCGACTTTTTGGACATATTTCTTAGTTTTTTGTGCAAGTGATTTAGCACCTGTAAACGAAACAGAGCAACAAAAAAACAGACACCAGGTAGAGCTTGTGGTTAATCAATAATTTGTGCGTACTGACCCCTCACCCCCTCTCGCCCCCGGGACACCCCTCTTTACCTTTGCGTAACAGAAGGAAATCAGCAGCAGGGGCAAAACGTAGCCAAAGACAAACGTGCACACCTCGTAGACCTTCTTGTGGTTCTGATTCGGCCACACGTCCCAGCAGTAAGTCTCGTTCCTTCCGCCGTGGAACAGGTTGTAGTAGTGCATGCGTGGCGCCGCCATGGCCAGCGAGAGCAGCCAGATCGCCACCACGCCGACCAGCGCGTGCCTCGCCACGCGTATCGACGACGACTTTCTGGAGTGCACGATGGCGACGTAGCGGTCCACGGACATGGCGGAGAGCGTGAAGATGCTCACCAGCATGGAGACGGTGAAGAAGTAGTGGATGAACTTGCAGATGAAAGCGCCGAACACCCAGGTGTTCATCACGTAGATGGTGGACTGGAAGGGGATGCAGAAGAGCAGGTAGAAGAGGTCGGCGATGCTCAGGTTGAGGATGAAGATGTTGGTGGTGCTGCGCGGCTTGCCCGGCTTGCTCCGGGCGAGCACGGTGATCACCATGGAGTTGCCCAGGACGCCCAGCGTGAAGATGAGCAGGAAAAACAGCAGTGCGATGTAGTTGCTCGTGTCGATGCCGAACAGGTTTTTCTTCTCCCCATCCTCCTCCAGCACGGTGAGGTTCCACGGCTCTCCCGCGAGCCACACGGACTCTGACAAGTTCATGATAGATTCTTGTTATTATTATTAGTTTATTCCAGTTCACGCCACCGACTCCGGACGCGTCTCCATGCGCGCTCCTGTTAGGTTCCCCCCTGTCAGGATTCTCCGCTTTAAATGAAATTCCGGCTTCACTTTTTGCGCATCACTTTATATAACTCTCTGTGTCTCACACACACAAACAACAACAACAACAACAACAACAAAAGCGATATATTCCAACAGCTGGAAAGTCTTCCGTGCAGCATCAAACCATCCGCCGCACCTTGGAGGCGACGGTCGGTCTGCGTCTCTCCCTGTTGCGCACCAGACGCGTCTGCGCGCTCTGGCTGCGCTGCTTCCAGTCTGTCTCCCGGTTCTCAGCATCTGGACCCGGTCTCGCACTTTAAATAAGAGTGTGTGGGGGGAGGGGGGGACATGTGGTGGGCTGGACCGTCGGCGTCAGCAGCCATGCCACCAACCATGAACTGCTGCGAGGAAGCTGAAGAGAAGGAGGAGAAACAATTATCGCTATGAGTCTCATTCTGCCCATTTATGAATCCAGCCATGTTTAATGTGGATGCTGGAGGTCAAGGCCTGTTTGTGAGGCAGACTGGGTGCCAAGAGCTGCGCATGACGTTGGAGCGTTACAGAAGAGCGTTTTACCTCTGTTTTATTTGAAAGGTTTTTGTTTGTTTGTTTTTTGTTTTGTTTTTTTGCCATAAAGGAATCATATAATATTATAATATAATAATATTATATTATAACATTAATATAATAATAATATTATATTACAATAATAATAATAATAATAATAATAATAATAATAATAATGATAATAATAATAATAGTAATAATATTGTAATATTATTATTATTACAATAATAATAATAATAATAATAATAATAATAATAACACGTGTTCCCACAGTTTTAGGCTTCATCTTGTGTTAGTTTATAAATCACTGGTTTAGCACCACAATACATTAAAGTTGTGTTCTTGTTCTATCTGCCCTAGATCCTCCTCACAGCATGATGCTGGCACCACCAAGTTCCTCAACAAAGGACCATGGTGAGTTTTTATTTTTTTTCCTGTGGTATTTAAAAAAAAAAAAAACTACAGTGCTTCTTTTTCACCATAAAGAGTTCAGCATGAGAGCCAGAGAGCTCATAAATGGTTTTCTTTCAACAATGACCTTTATCCTCTTTCCTGTCTGCAGTGTCTGTTGTTCTTCATGTTTGGTTATGATTTGTAAGACGACTCTAAAAATAAATGTCTTCAGCTTGTTCGCAGCCCCAGTAGCTAGCTAAAGTGTTCTTTGCTAGCATTTTTTTTTTTTTGCCACATTTTGTCAACCACAAATTTATGCTAACCCTAAACACTAAACACATACTGATTAGTATGCAGGTCTAAACATAAAAGACCAGGAGTAAACATCTCTGAATATTACTGATGTGCTGTAATGACATGATGTATAAAAACACGTGGGTGCTTTGCATTTTATTTTGGGAACTGTGGAGAATTCTCCATTCTCCATGCTGAGTTCTTGTTGTATAAGACTAAAGAAGGGTCAGTGAGTTGGATTCATGAATTCCATTTATTAATACCAAAATCCAGCCGGTCCATTATGACCTACTACCTTTAAGAGCCAACAGTCAAAATGGCCCCCAGAAGAGGTTGTGGTCTCCTTTGTTTAGCCTCTAAGTTACGCCCCAAAGAGGGCGTTACCTAGCTTCTAGTATCCTGTAATCTTAGCTTTGAGGGCGTTTCCTAACATGTCATTTATTTTTGCTTTAGCTTAGCAACTAGCTAGCAGAGATAGAAGGAAAACACAGAATTATTTCTTCTCAACAGAACCCGACAGACGAGCGACGGAAGTTGTGGCAAAAGGCGGTTCTGCTGAGTTGCAACTAAGGGGATTCACTCTTCTTTTTACAGCTGCTGGTGTTCTTGTTTCCTCTGTTTTCTGCCATTGAATCCAGTCATTTAATGCACCTTTCCATAGCGCAGCAGTGTTTGAAACGCCGCCCCGACAGGCTGCACTGCCCTTCTGTTTGACAGCTGGATGGATGTACAGATGGATGGATGCATTTCTGCTCCATCCATGGATGAAATGAATGTTGGAATAACAGCAGCACAGATCCATCCACATGGCTGTACTCCAACATTTGTTGGCTTCCTTAGACTATTTTTTTTCCCCTCTCCCAAAATAATTCCAATTTTGAAGTTGGGAGGTTTCCTTCAGATGACTTTTCCAGATACTTGACAGATGGGGAGGAAATGCTTTGCTATTTTATTTGCCAAAAACAATGTAAAGAAAAAGTGAAACGTATTCTTAAGTGGTGAAAAATGTTCTTTAGAAAGTGCTGAATGAGACTTTGGTGAGATTTGGTGATAAAAAAATATTATTTTTTTTAATATAATTTCTGTTCGATTTGAACGCAGCACAGTAAAGACAGCTGATAGTGGTGAAGAAGTACGTGTTAGCATAGCGTGTATTTGGCCAATGATGTGGCGAGCGCTCGTGAACTCAACGCAGCATCTGTGTAACAAAGCTCAATAAAGTGGCAGCTGGAATGTAATCAGCTGGTTTTAGGAGGACACTTTTTGTTCAAGCTGAAGCAAATGGCTTGATTTGCTACAATTTTCACCCATGACTGAAGTGTTTTTGGTTTAGTACTCGAGTGTTTTCATCCATCAGCCAGCGTGTCAGTCGGTTTCCAGGGGGTTTGGCTCGTAAGATGAGAAGATGCACATTTGCTTCATAAGAGCAGAACAAGATTTTTATTTGTCTTTTTTTGTTGTGGGAAAACTAGAAATGCAAAACATCTTTCCTTTAACTAAAGTTTCACAAATTACAAACTGATCTAGACTGTCCAATCAGGTGAAGGATACTGTTTCATTACGTTCTATGTTGAGGTATTTCTGCCTGTCTAGTTTTACTCACTTTGTTATTTCTTAAAAACAAAAACACTGACACTCTCTCTTTTATTGTCTTTCATAAATAGAGCAGATGTTTCCTGTATATTAAACTGTGTTATCAAGAATATTCAAAATAACATTTTCTGGTTCAAGTTGTTCCGTATCTATCTATCTATCTATCTATCTATCTATCTATCTATCTATCTATCTATCTATCTATCTATCTATCTATCTATCTATCTATCTATATATATATATATATATATATATATATATATATATATATATAATTATTTTTTATTTTTTATTTTTTCCTATCCTGGTGGCCGAACAGATAATCGGTTTCACAACAAACGCTGTGAAATCCTCTCTGCTTTGCACCAATAGAAACATTTTGAAGCAAATGCCACTGGTGGTAACACTTCTAGATATATCAGTTGATACTGACTGACCACTTTTTTATTTATTTTTTTACATATTATATTGTACGTAAAAGGATAAAGTCTTGTAGATATTCCTGAAAAACCTTGTTAAGCAGTTCCAGACCAACAGGAGGAAAAAATGCCAACTGATTCCGACCAGCGGCGCTCGCCAAGAAGTGCGTATTCCCCAGCAGACTCGGAGGGTAAAGTTCAAGTTCAAGCCGAGTTCTTAATAAAAACTTCAAATGTGAACTGTTGACTTATCGTCCGCTGTGATGGGAAAACAGTTTCGCTGACCGTATCATACCGCAGCTCACTGAAAACAAACCAGAGAAAACACATTTATCTCCAGTAACAGGCCGACTGTCACAGCAACAACATGTGCTTTGCCCAGCGGCTTGACGGGATCAAGCAGAAAGAAGTTTATTGATTTCGTTTTTATTTATTTATTTGTCTGTTCTATTGATTATTTATTAGAGAGTAGAGCCAGTGATAAAGTGAGAAGTACCAGACGCTCTTTCCCATTTTATCCTTAAGCAACATATTTTGAGCACTTTACTAAATTGGATACATAAATGAAATCATTTTTATTACTCATAGCTACTATTAGTAGGGACATAAGGAAAAAGGACCTTTTGACCTTCTACAATGCAAAATGTACTTGAAGAATTTTGAACTGAGTTACAGCAACATTTAATTTGAATTTGATATCAAATAACAAAGTATTTGGATTTGGTTTAAATTGAATGTAGCCTGTCACACCTTTGCTGATTTTTCTCACATATTTCAATGTCAAACAAAGTTTAGAGTCTTTGAGTAAATGCTGTAGTTACTCTAATTCAATAGATTTAAAAAATATATACATACAGAAAACCATTCAATCCCATGTCATCGAAACGTAAAAACAGCCTTCTGAAGTTCAAACTAAACATCAAGAGAGGGGATTTAAACGACTTTGAACGTGGAATAATCGTTGTGGTCTGAATATTGCAAAATTTTCCTGCTGTTCAGATTTCAGTTGTGAAAAATTAAAGTCACTAGAAGCGTTTTCATTACAAATGTGCACAAAACTTTGTCAATACTCAGCTAATTAAAAAAAAACAAACACAATTTCGCAATTGCGTTGTTTCTATTAAATAAGAAACGTAATTAAAAATCACGTTTGTTCAAGCGATAAGTCTTTAAAAACATCCCCTTCATGTGTCCGTGTGTACCTGTGAGGGTCTTTTCTAAGCTATCATTTGTAGCTCTGTCTCTTTGCAACACGGCTCACGTTCCCAAATAACTAAAATGGCGCCATTCAATGTTGATCTATGACACATATATATATATATATGATCTTAAATCTGAACCTTGGTAAATCTTCTTCTGAGTTGATTTGGCAACTAAGAAGTTGTAGTTGCCAAATCTTTGTTTCTAATAATTTCACTCACTTGCAATACAGTTTTCCACACTAAACAGTTTAGTCTAAGTTTAGTCACATTTTAGTCTAACATGGTTTCATTTAGTGGCTTTTTGATGTAGTTCTGGCTGTTTTAGGAGTAAAACCAGCCATTAAATACTGTGCAGCAGAATGATAACGCTACAAATCATGTTACTTTATGGAGATGGGAAATATCCTAGAGCTTCTCATGGAAGCGACTCTTTTATGTGATTCTACGTCCTCTTTCATGTTCTGTCTTTGAATGCTGGGCTTTCACACAAACGTTTTTCTG